TAGTTTATTTTAGTTAAACCGAAGAAGTAAGTTTACAAACATATAGTCCATTCAATTATCTTTCGTTTGATACCTCATTTTATCTTACAAACCCAACAATAATATTTTAAATCTTTTATTTTTAAATCCCAACCTCTCACTTCTGATACCCAGATGCAATTGGCCACTTCGTTATATAAATAAGTAACTATAATAAAGCACTATATAATATAGAGGCCCACCTATCATCGTCAAGCAACATAACGGAAAAACCCCATTGAAGTCACTATTTCGTTTAGAAGTCCTATCAGGCCGTAACCGCCCTCTGGCAAGATAAACTAATGGAGAAATTAAAAAGATGACTGCTGTGATGGCCAAAAAATGGAGAGATGTAATGAGAACAACCTCACTCATTAAGCGACCAACAAGGAAGCACTCGTGAAGCCAGTGCAGTAGCAAGGGCCAAGGGTTAGTGCCGGGTCAAGCTTTTTCCCGCTCCCGTTCCAGGAAAAAAACTCTTGCAGTTTGGCCGAAAATGCCGCCTGGGGCGAAACGCCCCCCCCCCTCTCTATGCCACTGTGTGACACTCATGACTCGGCTAAGAAGGCAGGTCTGTAAAGTAATCGAATCTGAAAAAAAGAAATTTAGAGTGACAGACGTGGAAGTAATGCAATGTGGAAAACGATTTTATTATAAAGGATATCCTTTTGAAAGGTGATGGAAATAGTTAATACGTAACTAATATAAGAAAAAAAAACGGAACTAAGTTCTCTTTGATTTGGTTTGTTAGACCGCCCGTGTCTCTCAAGATGTAAAATTTACAAAACAGCTGGTTGTAAACTATTATTAGTATAATGCAAGACGTTAACAAAAATTATTTTTTACATTAATTGAAATTACAAACATAATAATTGGTTTACTTGAAATAAAATAGTTTTTCTGCAATTTAACCTACACATATTTCACGACTCCACCTCCATATTGATGACATTCCATACATAAATCTCTATTTTAAAAGAAAAAACTTAATCCAACGTCAAATTTAATTTTTATTGTCAATGTTTGTGGGGAGGGGAGCTTGTTTTCGGAGGGAATATATTGTCTTAAATGTCATTTTTTTCTGCAAACACTGCAGTCCCAGGAAGACATCGCATAAGGCTCCACAAAACACTGCAGTCTCAGGAAGACAGCGCACAAGGCTCCACAAAACATTGCTCCACCAGCGAGATGTGAGCCCAACATTGCTTTACATTACACATCTGTGGGACTATCGCAGCTCTGTATACCAGAGGTTGTGTAACGAAAAGTAATAGTGGTGGACAGACTCACTGCTGGTGCATGTTCTCAAGCTATAAGTTTTTGAGGCCGTTGCAAAATCATCATCGAAAATAAATTTTTGTTCAAATATTTGAGCTCAACGCAAGTCTTTTTTTTTTTTCTTTCCTTTTTTAAACAAAAAAAACCCCAAATGTTGTCAAACCCGTGTTGCTATAGAAGGGTTTAAGTCTGGTTTCAATGTTGTAGGCAGAATTCGTGTACATTTATATAAATAGTCTCTATTTGTAGCCGATGAAACTGTTGACAATGGTTCCCGCAAGAGTTTCTCTATGCCTTGAACTTGGTCGCCAACACCAGAGCTTGGTGAAACTGAGGACCTGCGGCCACCATTCAAAAGCGCCAATAAGGGTTGCCCCAACGTGTAGCCAAGTGCTCTACGCTGATCGGTCGAGAAGGTGCAAATGAGATGTACATTTTACATGCCCAACAGAATGCGCAGGTGATGAGCGTTGTTGATTTCATTCCAGGGGCTATAAGAGCGATGAGATCAGCTCGTATAGAATATGGACAAAAAGATGTAGGCTCGTCCTGACTAAATTACCCTTTGTACTTGTACTATAATAATACAATCAAACACTAAACATGACAAAACACTGAGTAACGTCAGCACAACTTCAGATTACTGATATCATTAAACCGTTTAACAGTGTATAATAACTTTAAAAATGTAGTTCGCATCACTATCTACCAACTACACAAGCCATGTGAAACTTTTAAGGAACTGGTCAACGCCAGAGAACCTTAATTTACATATGCTTAAGTACAATACTGTAAACAATAGTTTCCTTGGCTTTGTGAAGATACTAATACTATTATAAAAATTAATCAAATTAAGAAATTGTCAAAATACGCGTAAATTAAGTCCAGAAAAATTGGAAATGGCTAGAGAAAAGAGGCTGGAATGCGTGGAAAGATTATTGTTGATGGGCTATGGCTCCACTAGGGTTTTGAAAGGTAAAAGAATAAGAAATTCTTTCAGACAACATAAATAAAGCAGGTAATGGATGAGTCAGAAATTGATTCAGATATTTTAAAGACCAGGAAGTGGTATTGAAAACCTATGAGTGTCCTCTACACCCAATATACAACTGAAAATGAAGGGGAAGGAAAAAAAAACAAGTTATTTTATCTCTTCAGAAAAGACATTTATTTGAAATCAATACATGCATTTTTTTCAGTTTAATATTCAAATTTCAATAAATGTAACTTAAACAATGTACTGCTTAAATCTTGCATACAAACCACACTAGATATTACACACGCGTCAGTCCCCAACAACACTACACGACGAGAACTACCGAAACAAGGGCTCGTAACTCCACAGTTGGTTATGAAAACAAAATATTTGTACATCAAATCCTTGGAAATTTTAGCCTCAAGAGGCACATATAATATTCCTTTTAAGTTGGTTGGCAATCGGCCAAAGATTTCATACCTGGAAATAGTCTTTAGCCTTTTTACTACTTTTTAGGGACGTGTAATTGTAATCAATAATCCTTTGGACCACCATTAGGAAACATCACCGTGGCGTCTAGACCGAAAATACATTCTTACTCTTACCACCCCCGGTACATGCTAATTTCCCTTCGTTCATTCCACACCATTAGGATGCCATAAAATATGTATCTATATATATACTTCATATCCAAGTTAGTCCTGTAATAATTCTTTAAACCGCTGAATGTTTATGTACCATTCACGGTGCTATTTTTCATGCGGCGTGTTGCATGGGGGACTAAAAATGTCCAAATAATGGTAAGATAAAAGAAATTGTTGAAAACATGATGCTACATGAAATTAAAGGGTGACATTGTTTGGTGTTTATTCCTGCCAACATTTAAATAAGCAGCCGATAAGGAAATCGATGTCTATTTAACATTTAGTGCTATTTTTTTTTATGCACTTATTGCATTGGGGGGGGGGGGGGTTAAAAAAAAACAAATGTCGAAATAATTATAAAATTAAAAAAATTGTTGAAAACATGATGCTACATAAAATTAAAAGGTGACATAGGTTGATGTTTATTCTAGCCAATATTTAAACAAGTAGCACATAAGGAAATCTACGATTTAAAATTGTGCTTGGAACCCCAATAGATATTGTTTTAACATCTGTGAGCAAACAACTGCTTTCCTGTTTAAATATAAAGTTTACTAAATCACTGCTCTAACTCAGTAAGTATTATTTTGTTTTACGTTTCTAGTCACTCCTTAGAGTGAGGTGATGGTAAGGGTGTGGAGTTTTTTAGGCCATCCATGACACCAGATTAAGTGGGCCGTCAAGACAGGAAATTCATTAAACCACAGAAATTTTTTGTTTGAGTCGATGATGGGGGGAAAAAAAACTATACTAGAGTTTAACATCAACACTTATACTTTTACCAGAAATTCAAAATACAATTATTGTTAAATACAACTTAAAAAGAAACAAAAATTAAATCTGGAACTAAAGATAACAAGTAGAAAAAGGCGTGTGTTTTTTTTTCCTTCTTCAAATGCCGCATTAAAAAGATGATAGAATACAAATATTTAAAGAGGCTGGTTATTTTTGTTTGCTGGACTTGGTCTATTCTGTTCTACTAAGCAACAGCATAGATCTTAGTATAGTCAGTATGGTAAAACGTCTACAAATGTAAGACTCATGAGCCAAAGAACTATGAAAAAGGCAATAAGAAAAAAGTAACAAAGTCATTGTTACAATTGAATCAATGTTCACTTATATATGAATAGCCGCAAAATCCATTGCATCAAGAAAAGGAAAAGCAACGAACCCAAAAACAAATTTTTTTTCATAACACTAACGTAAAACAAGGAACTTAAACCAAACTAAATAATAAGAAAAGCTCATCAAACAATTAACATCATGTTGTGTAGTGGAAGGAAGTTGTAGTAATTTTTTTTCTAAGACTAACAAACATCACTCTTGCTACATTTTAAAAAAAAAAAAACTTAAAAAAAATCTTTTCAACATTTAATATTAGCAGCCTTCCAAAAAATGTATAGCATTTCTTTGTGTATGAGTCTTAACTATTAAATAAAGCAGAAAACCTTTAGGATAAGATGCTTGTATTTCCAACACTATAAACATGAAAATATTAAGTACATTTAGGCTCTGGCTCCTCTGAAACCCTCTGTTAGAATACACTTTCAGCTAGCTTTAGCTGCACTTGCTTTCATTTGGTTTAAACTGCACTTGCTTTCAGCTGGATGAAATTAACTGATTTCTTATTCACACTGCAAGACACAGCATCTCATATTTCTGTTTAAATCCAGAAGTTGTAATTGCTTATAGCTTTGTTGGACAATTCGGAAAACAAGTCTGAGATTATAGGCCGGTTTTAAGGAAAAAAAAATGGTAATTCCAGTCATGTATGCAGAGTTCAATCCTTTAAATTAATCTGTTCCATATTTTCAAGAAAGAGCAAGGCCTTATACAAACATATTATTCTTATACAAATCACATATAGCAACAGAAACTCAAAACAGTAATTAGACAACATGGCATAGTCTAATAAATACATGATTAAAAAAAGGAAACGAAAGAAGTCAATGCTGAAACAGCTTGTTGTTGTTGTTAGAGGTTTAATGTGAGGAAACAAACTAAGAGAGCACACTGACATTTTTACCTATCTGGACAACTAGGCTTTAAAAAAATTTAAAAGATAACCCCCCCCCCCCCCCCCCCCAGCACTAGGAACGGGACTTCTTTTAACATGCTCTCAGTTGACAAAAATAAAACCAGAACCATAGAACCAAAAGCAGGACATGTACAGAATTTTTCATATGTCCTGATGTGACATTTGTACATCTGTATGAATGGCATGATATGCGAGGAAAAAAACTGCCTTCATTTATACACCCTTAAAAAAAATAAAAAAATTGTCCAATTATTAAGGCTATCAAATCAAGCCCATCTGGCAAAAAGCTAATCTCAATATGGATAATTTAATTCTCCAGTTATCACCGCTCAATATCCCTTTATACATTAACCAGTGAATTAGTGAAGTGTCCCCTCTTGTTACTGGTCAGCACTTGTGAACAAAATGGTTTCCTAACTATCTGAAAAAATTCACATCCTTCAAAATACAAAAAGCCAAGGTCAGTCACTTTGTCAAGCACTGTTGAAGTGCCATATGAGTCGATGTCTAAGAAAAGAATAACAAATTATGCCGCCTTAATGAGATGGACTACGAAAAAGACAAAAAAGTAGACTAGGATGGTGATGCCAGGATGAGTTTGACTCGACACAAAATTATTGTCAACCACTGGATATGTAGGGAAATGGTGCATTGTCATTTTACTACTACCTCCCTCCCTCACAGCCCCCACCACCCCCAAAAAGAAGAACCAAACAACTAATCATATATATTGTAACATAACACTCACTGCAAAATTGACAGTTGATTTTTTTGTCTAATAAGGAAGCAAAGTTACTGCATGCTAATTTTTTTGAATTCCCTCTTAAATTTAACAGAAGAAAGTGAAAAAAGTAGCATTAAAATATAGTGTGGTTACTAGTTAAACAGCATATGTGATATACGGTATATTACTAAAGGTGGGCTCATTTTCAAAACAAAAATAATTTGTTAAGGACTCTCAGAGATCTATATCTTCCAAGCATGTTAAAATTTCTTTACTTAATGTCTAAAATGTTTAAAAACAATTTTGGGGTGGCTTTCCACTTTTTTAAGCAAAACAGAAAAAAAGAACAGTTAAAAAAGGACCCACATAATCTATCAAAAAGTTTTGTTTTTAAAATCCAAAAATGCGTGTGAGCAAACCAGCTGAAGGATGTATGGTGTAAGGAATAGCATTAAAAGAAGGTTACAGAACAGCCATCATTAATTTGTTTCATTTTGGATAAGAACACTAAAAAATAATATTTGAAACTTTTATTTCGATAGCTTTTTGAAAATTTTTGTCTCTGTCTTATAAAGTAATAACCCTTGCATAGTTCTATAGTAGTGGTCTTTAATGACTATATATTTTTTTAATTAAGGGTTATTAGTTGTATCCTTTCCCTACAAAATATCAAACTAGCCTTTAAGCTGTGGAGATATTCGTCTTTTGTAAGCAGAGAAAGAAATTAAAAACATTTAGAAGGAATGGTAAATACATTATCCCTGCCTCAGTCCATTCATATGGTGATTAAAATATGTTAACTGGATTTTGACATCATTGAGAAGTTCCGTAAGGCTGTCTTTAATATGCTTGTGAAAAACTATAAATAAGTAAAAAGCTAAATTTAAAAAAAAAAAAAAAATTATACATGTTACTATATGTAGGCTCAGAATTGTATCTCTCTTTTAGGAATATCTGAAAATTAACTCAATGATTTTATTTCAAACTTATATCAAGCACAATCAACTGAAATTTGGCAGAATTTCGTTTGTAATAAATCAAACATTTCAGCTATTATAAATGGGTTTATATCAGCTCCATTCAAAAAAGGTTAATTTCAAGGAAAGATTTTTGTTGTTTTACATCATGATGTCCTTAGGAAGGTGGTTGGATATGCCATCAAATGTGATCACAATGGTAATGTGAAGAGGGCGAGGACTTTGGGGGTAAAGAAGAAAAGTGGGCTTGTGGTGTGTGCTAGTTTTGACAGGCATGCAACTGGAAGACATGTGTATCAGTTCCCTTGACCCAAAAGCACTCTGCCTATTATCACTTAGTTGTTGTCAAACAGGATGAGAAATTGAAACACACTTGACATTTGAAGAAAATGCACTTTACAGATTTGTCTACAAACATTTTTAAATACAATTAATAAGACCTGGGTGTAACTCTCTTACAACGTAACTGTCTCCCCCCAAATCTATTTTTTGGCCTCCTTTTTTTAAAATCAGCACTAGCAGCCACCAATGCAATCACAACTTATCCCTAGACCCCCACAGCCCACTCGCCTACGTACACAGGACTGAGAGGAAGTAGACAAGAAGACTAATGATGTCATCAAGACTCTTCATTGCCTGAATCCTCCTCATCCTCCTCATGGTACATCTCCTGTTCATCAGCATCCAGATCATCTACATAATCATCGTCATAAAAATCAGCATCCACTTGGTTGTCAAGAGCTGGTATAGATGAGACACAATACTCTTGTAATGTTGTGGGTACCCGAACCTGGTCTTTTGCTGCATCTTCTTTTGTTGCTTGAACTTGTTTTCTGTAGTGGAAATAAAACAACACATCTTTATCATCCGCCAATGGGGTTAACCAACAACTACTCTCATTGTTAAGAAAACGTATTCAATAAGCTGTGTCCAATTTATTTAACTCTACTGGTCACATACACTAAAAAAAAAAATGCCATTAATTATAAAATAAAAGCCAGTGATTTTAACAGCACTTATTCTCGCATTGTTAAGAAGGCTTATGTAGCTAGCTGTTTTAACACTATTAGAGTTTTACTACTACATTTATAACAAATTAATTTAATCATTACAAATTAAGATAAGAAAATTTACCTTATGATATTTTCATATTCTTTCTCCTTCTCTTTTGATTCCTTCCATTTCCTAAACATTACTGAAGCATCAACATTTGCAGGGGAAAAGGTGTTTGGCTCATTAAGCAAGGAAATAACACTGAGTAAAATTGTTCTGTAGAGGAAAATTTAAAAAATAAAATTATCCTCAACAAAATTTTGAGGAGGGGAAACATTTTTTTAAAAAAATAAGCATAAAATGTTTAATATATTCTTTCAAAACCATTTCAAATTAACACACCCTTTTTATTTCATCAAATTACTTTACTGAATGCTTGAGCGAAACACTCAAAATTACCTGACAGTTTGTGTGGGGTTCCAGCGTTCTGAAGGTAATTCACCACTTTGAGGGTCATCGACTGGAGGATGCAGGATTGAGATGCACACTTCACCATTCTAAAAGCAAAATCATTTCAATTCATTTGCCATTTACTTCAGTATATTACTTTTTTTCTCCCACAAAAGCTTAAAAATAGTAAGCATTCCATTCATTTATTACTACTGCTGTTATTCAGAGCTGAAAGGTACAGCTTAATGAGAGATATGTAGCATGTGATATAAGAAGGTAAATGTTGTCACTGCAATTGGTAAAAGTTACTATTTAATACACTCAAAGATTAATTTTAAAAAATATATATTGGAAAAGACACATTTTTTTAATGAGACCTAACCTCATAAACATTTGGATGCCACATTTTGGAAATGAATCTCACAGTTGGTGGTGAATAAGGATAATCTGGTGGGAATTTCATGTGTGCCTGAAAAAAAGATAGTAATATTGAGATTGAATCAATGTGTTATTAATACTTATATGATTAATTTTAAAAAGAAACTTCAAGGAAAGATTTATTTTTTTTAAAATATCACGCTAGAAATTTAAAGTAATAATCAAAACTTATTCAAATAGGCCTACTCAGCCTAATGGTTCAAACATAAAATACATAAACTATTAATTTAGGCCTTGACAAAATATATATACAATTATATTCCAATAAAATCAGCCTAAATTCTACACGGTGGCTGTATAACGTGGAATGAGCCCTGAGTGAATAAGGTTTTTACAGGCTCAAATTTGTTATTGTTTCAATGGGCATGGATATTTTTTAAATTTATGTCCACCTTTTTGCAGATAACATGCCATTATTAGACAACATTTTTAATCAAATGCATATCAGAATATCTATGAAACTGAATGTCTACTCTAAAATTTTATTGTGCAGTATGTAACCTCCCCCACAGACACTACACAAGGGAAAGGTGGGACTGCAGGTCCACAGGTTTTGCTGCATTATATCTGAGGGATACAATAAAGTTGCTATATTTTTATCCCAAATTATGTTTACACTTTGTCAATTATTACTAAGGAAACATTATGCTAAACCCATTTTGTATGGTATAATGCTTATGGCCCATTGCACTCTTTCCAACACCCGCCTGATATTGATTCATATAATATGGGGCAATGAGAAAAAAAATTAAAGACTAGTTCACTATCACTATTTAAAAGGGTCTTATTTGTCTATGAACTTCAATGACTTGGCATACCAGTATTTACTGCTACTAGTACTAGTCTACAGTGAAATCCTGCTATAATGCGAATAGGGATATAATGCAGCAGTGTAATTGTAATAGCTCAGGAAATTGCAGGTTCCAACAAAAATAAAATCCAAAAGATGTCAGAAAAAATTAAAATCCGTGTTCCAAAATGCCAGCAAAATAGTCTTTTAAATATTATAATTAACCACCCATTCATTTTAAAAAGCCATCAATCAAAAATATTCCATAGGCATATTAATATTAAAAAAATAAAAGCTAACTTCCCAAGAATAAAGAAAGGCAGAGATAAAGAGTGTAAAAGTGTATTCATTGGGTTTTCATTATTTATGAAATTTCAAAAACATGTTTTAATCTATTTAATCAAATATACAATTCTCTCAGTCCAATACAGTACACAGTGTGTAACTCTAGCACGCAAACACATCTCAAATGGTTTTAGTTTTAGGGTTCACTTCAGGCATCAGTGGCGACACAGAAACTTAAAGTGGCACGCATTGCCAAAATGACTCCAAAATCACTTATCTGATATCTTCAACGGAATATTCTACAAGTAATAACAGTAAATTGCACAACCCTGCTATTAATACAATTCAATTTTATGAATGGACTAATTGACCACTCCATTTATCATTATATTGATTGTGTAGTTTAACTGTATTACTTATTACTACAATTACAATAGCAACAACACTCAACAGAATTATGATAATTATAGAAGCCTAGTCATAAATAGCAGCGGTCTAGAAGTAGAGTAGGCTGCAGGCTCAGTATATTTCCGTTAGACCGAAATTAAAATACCTTTTTACTTATTTTAATACGTAACTTAGTCATAGTATGTCATAGTCTAAACTTAGACTTTGACTGAATTTTTAAGTTTTTGGGTTCATCAGTAACAAATTAAGTATATATTATTTTTCTTTTATGGAGAAATTTAAGTATAATAAATGTTACCTTAAAGTAACCCCCTTCATATAAAGTTCCTGGTGGACCGAAAATTGCAACTTCCCATTCGAATATGTTGTCATCGTTGGCAAGTTTGACACGAAAACCTTCCACTGGCTCTGCTTGGATCTTTTTAAGTTCAAGTTGGAGAGCTTTTACAGCACTCCCAGATGGACTTTGAGCCATTATCACAAGTCAGAATAGTCTAGTTGAAAAAAAATCAGTGTGTAAATTGTTGCTCAAAACGACTGTAAGAATATGCAGGGGGGAAAATACAACCTATTTCAGTCTTTGTGAGGATCAGAGTCTAAATATGGCGTTAATAAACAGTGACGTCACAATGTTGTGAAAAAGTTTTGTCGTAAATTTGCGTTTTAGGAATTATTTTTGTGTTTTACTTATTACAACATATCTTTCATTTAATTATTAAATTTTGAAAATTCCATTAGTTTTATTTAGCACCAATATGTTGTGAGTATTTGGTATATTTTAATGGCATATTTATCTTTAGGAAGAACTAATTACGACTTGACATTTTCTAACAAATGGTTATTTCAATTTTCGGTAACAGGAAATATGGCCGCTGATCTGACAGAACAGGAAGAAAAGGTATTACTTGGATTAAATATATATAATAAAGAGGAAAATAAAAATCCATTGACGGAGCATAAAATTATCCCAATTTTTATTTCGGCCAATTCATACAATTGGTACCTTGGCGTATTTTTTCTAAGGTGCGGAGACTTTCGTCAGTTTCGAAAAAGCACTTAGGGCCTACTGACTTTTTAAAAAAAAATCATCTTTCTTAGTAATCTTAGTGTTCTTAGTATTAGTCTTAATGAGTTAATCTGAGTAAGAGTAAAAGTGACATAGCTAACTCGTTGGGTGCTAGATTTTTATTATTGATTTAATTTAAACTTACTTACCTAAAGCGTGTTTGACTTGCTTCAGGCACCTTGGACTTTGAACAGTGTTGCTTGTATTAGTTTAGTTAGTTATAAGTTATAATAAAAAATTTAAAAATTGTTATCAGGCCTAACTCCAAAGTTTAAAACCTTCAGATTACTTTGAACTGTCAAAAGTAAACAAGTATTCAGTGCTTAGCTTGCTTGTCATTTGCTTTGGTGTTGTCTAGATATTTTATAGGTTTAAGTTGACTAAGTACTCCTATCCTTAAGCTGCTGAGTTTTTTATGAGTATAACTCACCACTCACATACAAAATATTATTCACACTCACACTTTACTAAGACTAGTGACTTTTTAAAACTAGACTAGATACTGCTCATAGTAGTCCTTAGTAACAGTCATTTGCAAGCCAAGAAGTATTATAAATTTTGGACCTTTTGAATTATACTTAAACTAAAAAAAGAACTCTCCTGTGTTTCAGTTATCAGTAGCAAACTCTTGCCCTTACCAAACAGGAAACATGGAAAGGCATGAAGTAAATGCTAGCAGAGTGTACCATATAATCCAAATTTACCCATGTGCTCATTGTAGGGCTTCTGCTGTGATTATACACAGTAATAATTGGGCAGAGTCTTCAATTATAAACTCAAACTCTTGATTCCAAAAAACAACTGTTCCTTTTACACCACCAATCTGCAATTGAAACACCCAGATCCAATCAATGTTAACTTCTAATTGCGTCTGCAGTCTGTCTAGTGTATAGGCTTTAATTTTAATGCATAATGATACATCTTATGATACAAAGTGACATGCCATAATCACCTTACACCCACAAATGTCTAACTAATTATAAGTTGTAAATGCAATGCCTCCACATTATTTTTGAGTGTAAAAGAAAGAAATTAAAATTATTTTAACAGCTAAAGTTTATCTCTAAACATATGAAGCCTGTATTTATTTAATAAGGATGACCAGCACTTTTAAATAAGTTTGTCTCTTGGCACCCCAGCCCATTTGCTACCTTTACAAAATAATATTTGCTAACCTAAATTTCGAGTCTAAGAATTAACGCAGCCATGGTATGACCTAATCTCACTGTCCACCAATGGACCGATTTAATACAGAGAGATAAAAAGATAATTAGACCTATGAGGCCACAATTAAAGTTAGATTGCTTCATTTTAATTTGTTAAGATATAAGGAAGCAATTCCTAATATTCTGTCTAATTTAATATTACATCTGCAACCCCATCTAATGGAAAGTATGGGCTAGCATTCCCTTTTTTGCTGCTGAAATTGTGAAGAGTTAGCAGGTTTTTATCCAAAAAATTCATCACTTATTTTCATGAATAAAGCTTAAACCTACTCGTTTACTATTGGTAATTTGTATCATTAAATCCACTTTAAAATATACCAACAGTTTGCTTTATTTTTTTATCAGTTTTTATGCATTTTCATTAGCAGCAATAAATTTTTCTCTGGTAAATTTTGTTTGCGCATTACTTGTATTGGTAATTTTTTCCTTGTTTATGAAACGTTAATTATAATTAAGAAAATAAAACTATTATAACTTAATTATTTTCAAAATTTAAATTTTATTACAATATAATTTATACGGTTGGGAGATGTTTAAAACGGAGTGGGCCTGCTGCGCTGAAAAAAGTTAAGAATCCCTGCCCTAGAGCATTCACTAAGATCCTCTCCCCCTCCACCCAATCAACCATTTTTTCATTCCATCCCACTTGATATGGCAGTCCTAAATCTGTGACTCCCATCTCCACATTTTGACAAACTCTCTAGACTGTCAATGTCACTACACCCATTTTCTCCTCCATGGCGTCCTGTAACTTGATCGGAGGCCATTTCTCAGAGCTATCATACCTGTACTGATTCTCTCAGAGATTGTAGTTTTTAAAAAAAAATAATATAATTGTTGTTTCAAAGCATAATGTTAAAAATTTCTGTAATTTAGCATTATTAAGTGCAATTCTTTACTATTATATTCTGCTTTTCATGTGACGTCACATTGCTTAATCCCTCGTCACACATCGTCACAAAAATATAACCCTCCTCCCCTTAGACGCATGACATTATTTATGGACGATCCCTCCTATGCATGGATACAAAACGATCACTTATTTTTATGTGCATGCTTCCAAACTCAAGATTTTGCAATTTTCATATTTCCAATGAAAATTATACTTGGGACACATCACACTCGGCCTATCAATGGTCATAAAAATTATATTATTTATTAATGTTCACATCTGAGATTAGTTTGTACAAATGCCTTTAATTGAATGACAGTTATCACAACAAAAAAAAAGAAGTGAATTTGTTTATCAAATGAGTTGAAATGTATTGACAAACTTTTGTCCTTTGAAAAAGAAATATGTATCATTTTCGCAAGAGTTGAAGGTATTTAGAAAAAGATTCATTTGATTCATTTTTCAGTATTTTTCAAGTGCATAAAATCAGTTTAAAGATATTTTTTCTTCATTATGTCACAGTAGAATTCTTAATGGTATTGTTTAAAATAAGCATATGATCATAACTGTTATGATAAATTTCTGGTAAAAGTTGTGTTTTGACATTTTAACCGTAAAAAAAGACAGTGAAGTGCTTAAGTCAAACTGTACTGTACCTATACATAATAATGGATGCCTTCCATTTCATTGTCCTCTCATTATATTTACTATTTTATTATTGCATGTTTTTATATATTTATTTTTATTGATTGAAAGCAAAGCTCATTCTAGTCTTTACAATTTTGTTGCGTTCCAGCTGTTCATTTTACTGCTGGGTGGTTTCATACTGGTATGGCCAGGCCATATCAGGGGTTTGTAAAGTTTAGCTTATTATCAACAATAATGCAATTAGTTTCAGAAAAATTTCTGATAAGACCCAATTATTTATTTGTCTTGCCAGTAAGAATCCAGCAGATCTCTTCAAAAACTTTTACTTAGTCTTTCTTTAGTATCTAAATATAGTGATATTGCAAGATAACTTCTTGAAACAGGAAATTGAAACAAAAAGTACTGGTTTTTTTATAGTTTTAAATTAGACATCTTAAACCTTGAACCAGCAGAATCAAAGTGCTACTTCCAAGTTTATCTCAGACATCAGAAGTGCTTTTCTAGGCTTTTTCTATTTATCCATTAGAATAGAAATAATCATTGATCAGTTCTCATAATCTGATTGACATTTTTTTCTATTTTCTACTGACTATGCATGTGAAACATTTTTTTAATTATAAATCTGAAATATAAACCTTAAGAGTAAATTATTTTCCTTCATCTTCCCACATTGCAGATAGTTAATTTTTAACTTTCAGGTGTCCATTTAAATGTGGGAGTTATGAGAGGTGAGGTGTGAATCATGTAACCAACTATTAAGAAGCACATGTACAAGGTTTATGGGGAATCACCATCAGACTAAAAAATCAAACACCTCTTGTTCTGTTACTTAATTACACAGATAACTGTTTTTGCTGGTTTAAAATTTACTGCTTGTTACCTAATCTTTTATGTTACCTTGCCATAAATAAATAAATATAGTTCTGTGCTGTTGCGGTGAATCATCTTAAAGATACAGGGGCTACTTATCATCTGCTTGTTTTACTGATCTACTTAAAAATCAGTAACTGCTTTCCTGTCTTTCTTTTCCTATTTTAGTAACTATAAATATGGTATGAAAGCCAAGATAACTCTGTCCTTGTATATAATGCTTAAAATATTCTTAACTAACACAATATTGATACTCACATACTCAACGATGATGTTTAATATTTTAAAAAAAATTCATTTGTTCATTTTTTTTAATTAACAAGTGTATTGTTTTAAAGAACTAATCTTTTCTATGTGCTGTCTGTCAACTTAACCCCTAGTTTATCAGATTAAGATATAAAAATTCATTTTGTTCTTTTTCGATGAATTCTTGGAATTATATCAATTTGATTTAACAGAGATTTTCTTATGTGGAACAGGCCTTATAAATTGTTATAGTTTAAATTGCTTGCATTGACATTATAATGCTGATTACGATGTTAAAAATTATAACTAAAAGGAACAAAATAATCGATTAACATGTGACTGACCGATAAGAATAGATTTTTCAATTTTTAAAATCAATATAATTTTGCAATGGTGGGGTTGTTTGGTTTTTAAACATAAAACATTAAAACTATGTGGTGCAAATATTTTCTAGCTGTAATATAAATATAACATATACAGTATTGATTTTTTAACTATATGTTTGCGTGTCTGTGTTTTAAATTTATAATACACTTCTTTCCAATACAGGCCATTCAGCAGTTCTTAGAGGAAATCAATATTGTACAGGAAAGCCGACAAAGATCCCCAGTATCATGGAGTTCAGGGTGCAAGTTTCTTATGGCAAGAAAGTTTGACCTCAAAAGAGCAATTGATTTGTTTTTTGCACATGAGGTAATATAAATGCTAAAGAATTAACCAATATTCCCATAATGTTATTTTTTTAATGTATAAAATAAGATACTGCTGACATTGCCTAAAACTTTCTGTGTATTTCTTGTCACAAGTCCACACGAGAAAAAGAAGACCTACTTTCAATCGATGCACATGATCAGTATCTTCAAAAGGAATTGATTACTGAAAAATTTACATTACTGGTATGTATTGTGAATTAAGTATATATACTATATCTTTGAAGTTATGAGGTGTAGATTACAAAGGATCCATAGGGATTTAGAAAAGAAAGAAACTTAGCAGTTAATTTAATTAAAAATTATTGCCCGGACTTTATTTGATTGATAAATTTATCGTTCATTAAAAACAAATATAGATAAACCAGTTAATAAGGTTTTAGATAAAAGTAAGTCATAGGGTTATTTCATATATGCCACATTTTGACTTAATATTATACCCATGTAAGTCTACCAATATATACCTCAAATCTACGATTTTCTTTCAGCCAGGCAGAGACAACACTGGAGCAGCAGTGGCCTTGTTCTCTGCTCGACTTCATTATCCTCCACACACGACACACCAGGTAGTGCTCAAGTCACTTATCTACCAACTGGATGCTGCCTTAGAGAGGTTTGACAAAATAGCTTTGACTTGATACATAAGATTGGTTTAAAAACTGTTTGAATCTTACAATTTTGTCAAATTAAAGTTAGAGAAAAACACATTTTTTGCAACAAAAAACTTACTCTTGGATATTAATTCCTATCACATGCATAATTAGTTTAGCTCCTTTTGTCATTTAGCAATGAATTGTATGGGCATAAAATAGTTTTTTTTATTTTATTGATACGAAATTCAATATCTTTTTTTTTTCAGCATTGAAACTCAGCGTCATGGACTTGTGTTTATTTATGATATGACAGATTCCAAATATGCCAACTTTGACTATGATCTCAGTATTAAAATCCTTAATCTATTAAAAGTAAGACTGTGATGGTTTAATATTTTCTAAATACACTTGTTTTAATATTAGCTCAATAATTAGGTTCACACTCATTTTTGCATATAATTAATTTATGATTGAACACCATTTTGTGCATAGATTTTGTCATAAACATATACAATAAACATTGTTAATTAAGTATAAAGAATCTCACATTTTTATTTTTTTATGACGCAATATAGTTGTAATAAATGGCTGCGTCTGTGCCATTCCACTGTACATATTATTCAACTCCTCAGGGCGCTTATCCAGCCAGATTGAAACGGGTGTTGATTGTTACAGCCCCACTGTGGTTTAAGGCCCCATTTAAAATACTGAGGCTTTTTGTGAAGGAAAAGTTGAGAGACAGGGTAAAAGGCTACATGTATTTACATTCCATCTCATAGCGCTTTTTTAAATGTAAAGCAAGTGAACATGATAGTGCATTCTCTGCATTGACTGAGACTCTTATGGTTGTGCTTTTAATATAAAGTGAAATAGAAGTTAGATTGCCAGAAGATACCTACCACTCTTTCACCTATTTAAATAAAACGAAATAAAAAATTTTTTAAAATAACACCATGGTCTTAAAATATAAGATATTGTTAGCCATTTTCTAAATTTGAAAATTAATTGCTTGAAAAAAGTTGTTTACCATTGTCAACATTTGAAGGCATTTTAAAAATGTTGACAATTTCAGCTTCTTCTTTAAGTTTTGTTGACTGCCTTCAAAAAGAATTACATTTTAAATAAAACTCTCAGCTGGTCTGTGATTTATAAATATGTGATTTTATATATATATATATATATATATAAATTTTTCAGGTTTATACAGTAAATGTATCAGAACTGACTGCCTACGTCCCTAAAGAAACTCTACCTATCCAGCTAGGAGGCAACCAGGAACCATGTCACAGAGTCTGGCTACAAATGTGCTACCTCTGTGCCACTAACCAACAACCAGAACTCAGTGAATACTTCACCGCATGTGATTCCAGTTCATGTGCGGCACGTCGATCTATGTCCCGTAGCATATCAACTGACATTGATAATCATATTAGTGATTTTGACTCTGAGAGTTCAAAAGACACAGTTAATGAGAAACACACAAACGAGGATAGAGAGAAAGAGAAGGAAGACTCTGACGACATGGATCAAAAAGATGGAGAAACTGGTGACCGTTCAGTTATAAGTAAAGACAATTCGGCCAACAGAAAGCGTAAGACATCAGAATCTCGGAAAAGGAGTTCAGATCTGTCTGCTCTCAGTGAATCGGCAACAGATGGCATGCCTTGTAAGAAGCGACCGCCATCGTCTGGCTCCAACATCCTGGATGACTCAATTCATATGCCAGATAGTACTGGGACAACTGTTCAGGAACTTCTCTCAAAAGTCAATACTTTAAAGCGAAAAGGCCTGTTTGCTGAATATGCTTCAATCAAAATGGAAGCCCCAACAGGAACTTTCAATACTTCCAAGTAAATAACTAGAGAGTATTAAATATTGTGGAATAGATAAGTTTTACAGTTAACAGACTTATTCTGGTATGGACTAAAATGTTTACATAGTATTAAAATCAGAACTGCCTGGCAACAGATTGTAATTGCTAGTGTTTTTAAGAGTGCAATAAATGAAAGATGTCAATATTTTAAAGAACTTCAATTCTTTAATCATTTTAATATTTAAAATGAAGTTTTACATTTTGTTGATGCAGAGGACTGCAATTATACCAAAACAAAAATCAAGTTTTTCTCCCCTAGATATGAATGTAAATAAAGCATCTGCCTTTCACATGTAACACTAGTAACAGATGGATTTGCATATCTACTAGCTGATTTTGCATTGGGATCAGGCTTGAAAAGTTTTCAAAGTTAAACTTGTGAAAACTAATGAAAAATTGTTTTCAGTTTTTTTTTATTTTTTATTTATGCCTTATAATCAGTAGAAAAAAGATTAAAGTTTCATTTATTTGGTATGACCTAAAATTGTAGGGCAGCAGCTTCTTATAGGAGCCAGAATGATCAATAAATTGATTGTGGGCCGTCAAAATATAGAAGAAGATATATATACATGTAGACCCTAAATGCTTGACCTGAATTCTACAAACTGAATTACAGAATAAATATTTTAAAATATAACTTGGAATTTCAACAGAAGCACTCTAATGAGTAGACGCCATAATGATTGAACTCTTCCTCATAACATATTCAAATGAAATTGACATGACCATTATGGGAAGAAACCATACATATTTCTTAAAAGAGTAAAACAAAGTCACAGAGTGTTTAAATTTTCTTAACACCGCTGGTTGTGAGCACTTTAAAAGTTGTTTTTTGTCCCCCTGTTTCCTGTATTATTTGCTTTTGTAATTAGACTTTGTCTGCATCAACAGGATCAAAGCTAACCTCCCTAAGAACAGATATACAGATGTGCTTTGTTATGATCACAGTCGGGTTGTCCTTCCAGTATCTGATGATGACGACCCAACATCAGACTACATCAATGCTAACTATGTTGACGGTTACATGCAGAAAAATGCTTTTATTTCAACACAAGGTTTGTCCTTTTTTAAAGAGCTTTTTGACTGTTTGTTTAAGGTTTGAGATATGCAATTCTAGGCTTTGAGTTTTAATAAAGGACACTTGAAAACTCAAGCATTTAGCTCTAAACAAAAGAATACCTTTGCATTGAGTAATTTTTTAAATTGTATTTTTAATTTTCATATTATACAATTTGTTTTAGTCCTATTATTCCAGGGTCTAATATTATTATAGAAGTTAAAAATGGCTCAATAATTTTCTTTTTTATCATGTGATATGGTCATTTTAAGAAAAATCACTGTTAAATTTCTTCACCAAAGAAATCTTTTTCCAATACAGGACCACTTCCAAAAACGTTTGTTGATTTTTGGAGAATGGTTTGGCATAATCAATGTCGCGTTATTGTAATGACAACAAGGTAAGTTTCATAAAACCTGGTGCTTTTTTAAATCTGTTGCTAATTATTTACAATAGTTTGCTTAGAACATTCTTTTTTCTGCAGCTAAAATTTTTTCTATTTTTAATGGATAATACTTGTAAGTATGTAGAAATTAAGTAGGACATCTTTTTATTGAAAACTTAAAATAAAATTTTATACTGGTGTCAATGTCACTTCAAAAAATTTCACTTTTTTCCCAATATATACCAAAATTTCCTCTTATTTTGCCTTATCCCCAATGAAACATTTAGATTAAAAATATCATGTCAAAACAATAATATCCTGTAAAATCATGCCATGCCTATAAACTAAATGTATATGGGTGAGCGAAAAAAAGAATTTGAGTTACTAATATCCACACGTTTTCTTGCAAAGAAGTACCTTGTTACTTTTTTTTGATGTCCTTCACATTTGAAAACTTATTCTTAAATTTCATCAGAACAATAGAAAGGTCAAGAATGAAATGTGGTCAATACTGGCCAAGTGAAGAACAGACAGATGAGCAGTTTGAAGAATTCATTGTCTTTAATAATGGCATCATAGAAAATGATGATTACACCGAGACCATTCTCATGCTTCACAACACAAATGTAAGTCTGTCTATTGATTCAAGACTGGGGTTTAATTTCAATAAAATAGTTAATGCATTAAACTTAGTTTCAGATGCATATGTTTTTGTTGCTGTGCAGTGAACTTTTATGGTGAGGATAGTTAATCATATGTAAAATCAAAGTAAAAAATGTTCCACTGTTCAAAATGTATCCAAAATCATATTAATTTTAATACAGATTTATCTGACTAATATTTGAACTGATTAAATATAGATTTAAAATTCAAGAAAATGAAATAAGTGGACATGCTTTTAAAAACAGTCATTCAATTATGTCATTCAATCATTGGATTGCTTGCAAGTTTTATCATATTGTGGATGATTTACTTGAAGTTTCTGTGCATTCCATTGAAAGTGTGTTAGAAGCTATCTTATTTATCATGGACTTTTATAATCCATTCTGATCCTGATCCTTATTATACATTGTTTTGTTGTTGACAATTCATAAACTTAACTAAGCATTTCAATATAATGATATCTATTACAAATTCATCACATATCATCCCATCTCTGTACTTAAATACTCTCTACAAAGTCTTCTCCAAATCATTGTATTAGAAAATTTTAGTTTTACTTGTTATTTACTAAACCTGAAGATACTTAAAAACATTTTTTTTTTGTTTTGTCCCTAAAGACAGGAGAAAATTGCCAGATCACACACTTGCAATTCACAAGTTGGCCAGATTATGGGGTGCCTCCGGCTGCTCCATTTTTAGACTTTTTATTTCGCGTTCGAAATATTCAGGAGGCTGCCACAAAAGAAATGGGTGGTGCCTGGACTGGTCACCCATTAGGGCCCCCTATTGTTGTTCACTGCAGTGCTGGAATAGGGCGCACTGGTATGTACCATCAATCAGCTTAGTTCTATATAGAAATAAAAATATTTTCATATAAATTAACAAAGTGTTTTCTAAATTAAGCTTTATTATGTTAAATTAATATTAATTTCATTTTTGTTAATAATTTGTCATTTAAGGATAGAACTGTATTTTTAAGACATTAGGTCCTTTCAATCACTTAGCTAAATACATTTAGATTGCTACTTGTTAAAAACACGCAGCTGAGCTGTAAGAAAGTTCTGGAATTCGACTTATAAACTCCTCCATTAACATGAACAGAGATGTTCGTATTAGTTTTACTACGGTCTATGCAACTGTGAGCTTGGTTTTGTTTTCATTGTGAAAATACTACTCCCACTGCTCTATATTTTAACCTTTTTTCATCTAGTTAAGGCATCTTTTTATAAATGATAACATTGATTTCTAAGTTACAATACTGTGCATCCACTACCCATTGTTTATACGTATAAATGGTTTATTTCATAATTTATCATTTTAAAAATTCTTTGATTTTTTAAAAATTTCATCTCAGGTTAATAAAAATAAGAAATGTCAAAATTTGTTTAAAATAAAAATCATTTAACACTTCTAAGTAGAGGCCAACCCAATTTCGATTTCAGCGCCGAAAATTGCCATTTGATCACTTTCAGTTTAGTTTTGGTTTCGGCTGAAACAGAAGGTTGACTTTCGGTTTATTTTCAATTTCTTTCAAAGTAATTGAGGCTTTCAGCCATCTACCAGAAGTCAGACTGGCACTCTGCCAGTCTGTTGGCTGGCAATCCAATATTCATTATTGTTTGAAGTCTTGCTGTCAATGTATGATACATGACGAATCCTCTGTGAACACTGCTCACAGCAGCTTGATGACCTACTTGTTCAATATTTCCAAAAATACAATTAGGCTTAGGCTAAGGTAAAGAGTTTAGTGGCGAAAAAAAACTAAGGGAATGATAATATTATATTATTATTGTTGTTTTAATTTTTTTTCAAAAATAGAATTTGAGAACCCTAGGTTTTTAACAATATAATATTTATTATCAGTTTTTTCATTTGTGAAATTTATTTTGAATTATAATTATCATTCTCATAAACAGACAAAGGGGGCTGTTCATTAATTAAGTCAAAAATTTATTAAGCAACTTTTGACCCCCCTGTGAACAACTGTCAAACTTTCAATGACCCCCCCCCCCCTAAATAATTATGTCAACATTTTTATAACACCACCCCTAAAACAATGAATTAAAATAAAAATAAATATATAATTTTAATTACATTTTGCTTTGGGCTGATCAAACTTATATACTTATATACCAGACAAGTCAACATCATCCTCATCTAACCATTCAGCACTTAAAATAGAAGCATTGTCAATGTGAGCAATAATTGCCATAAGCTCTCTCTTTCTCCTGGCAGCTACTTGCATTAGTCGAAATCCTTTTTTGTTGTGTTGAGGGGCAGGTGGTAATTTCTTATGCTCACAAGCGCAAAAGTGCTTTTCAAGAAGCCATGTTATTATTGTTACTCGCGTAAATTTCCCCTAATTCTCAAAATATTGTGTTCTTTCTATATCAATATCATTTATCTTGACTGCACATGTCACTTGAACCTTGTTCTTGTTCCATACCTGCAACATGATTGCAAACATACCGCCCTAATCATTTACGACAAACAGAATCTACATGCGAAGAAAGGCCAACTTTTGACTTCTCTTGCACTAAGAAAGTGTGCTAACATTCAGACCAGCTATCAGCAGTGTACAAACAGACACACGTTAAATAAATATTATATTGTTAAAAGCCTAAAATATATATATATAACTATTTATACTCATCAAATTTGTTACAATAATGTAATGACCACTTAATTTTTAAGATTGAAATTTTAAAAAAGAAAACATGATTGTTGACGTCAACTAATCTAACCCCCCCCCCCACCAACAAACCCTACCCTATTTTGTTTACATAATTAATGGACGACTTTAAGGTGAATAGTATTTTTTTAAATCCTTGCGAATAGTAACATTTTCATTATTATTTTTATTTTAAATTATTTTTTTTTAAATTAAGGATACTTAGTCCTATTCATTCGTACATTTATTTAAATTCATCATTATCATGCTGATAAACGTCATTAACGAAATAAAGTATTAAAATATTCCACAAAACTAGTCATCTCTATGGAGACAGATGTAAAGGAAGAGAATAATGAAACCTTTAATAATATTAAAAAATATAAAAATTGTATTCAATTTTTGTATAACTAAGCTTAAAATGGCCTTTAATTTAAATCATAAGCTTACACATACATGTGCATGTATCAATGTTTCTATAATAATTATGTAGTAGGCCTACTGTATTATCATACTAAACATAGCTCGTAGCTCAAAATTCATTCAACTTTTGCCTTATATGGCTCAAATCCAAAATAAGCAGATAAATGATAATTACAGGCAAATGAAATGTTTAAATGTCGACCATTAAGAACGTTTTTCAATGAAAATGTATGGGTTAGTGAAACAAAGCTTTCCTGAACCTCCTTCTGGAAATTTTAGTGGCACATACCAATTAACAATACCTTCAGCTAAGCTTTCGATCGATATCAAAAATGTCTTGGTAATTATATTATAAAAGCAAAGGGCGCCCAAGGGTCTATTTTACATGAATTTTGTCCTCCACCCAAGTCTAAATTTTCTCTTACTTAAATTACTTTTTAATTCATATGGTAAAAGCCGAAGAATTCATCAGATGTTTATCTATTAAAATTCACAATGATCTCATTGTGAAATAAAAGTTATATAAGAGCTGCTCTTTTAGCCCAATATCATTTTTAACTTCAGTATTTTTGTGAATAGGGGGGGGGGGGGNGGGGGGGGGGGGGGGGGGGGGGGGGGGGGGGGGGGGGGGTATTGCTGAAATCAGAAAATCACATTCGTTCTGTGTCTAAGCACAGCAGAGACAGCATTAATAAAACCCATAACATGGGACAACACAAGGCCACAGACGGATTGGCTGTATTTAAGAATTATCTGTTTACTTACTATTTTATATGGCATTTTAGATTCCACTGAAATTACATCTATGCAACTTATAATATAGAACTTCCACTTTCTTGATTGTTATCAGTGGTACTATTGACAGTAGGTACATTTATATATTATATATATGTGGGTGTTTATGTATGCATAAATATGTTAAAAACAATTTTTATCTACTAGGAACATTTATTACTGTGGACATCTGCTTACGTCGTCTTGAACATGTGGGTACTGTTGATGTGAAGGAGACAGTCAGAAGAATAAGGTCACAGAGAGCATTCTCCATACAAATGCCTGACCAGTATGTCTTCTGCCATCAGGCTGTCATAGAGCAGGCACAGCGTCAGGGACTGTTGAACAGTTTGGAGGCTATAACACTAGGAGGAAGTGATAGTGATAGTGATTGAACACTGATCGGATGGTCACCAGAAAAAGTCTCATGACAAGAATGCAAATTAGATATTATAATAGCAAATTAACTTTGTTTATGTGTTATACTGAAAAGGCTGGCTCTAACAAAGTTATTACTTTATTTCTTCACACAACATTTTATTTAATAGGCTCTCACATTTATATCCGTTTTATTAAAATGAAATTACGATAGTTGGTTTTTTTTCAGTCGCAAAATTACATTTTTGTAACAGTAAAATTTATTTATATTTTTATTGAAGCAGTAAATATCTAAAATTATTCTTAAAATTTTTGAATGAAGTGAGCAGAACAAACTGTAACAGCAGTTTGAAATTAATGACCAATTGAGAAAAAATATTTTTTTGACTAATAAATTATCTATCTTCTTGCTCCAAGTTATAAGTGTGCAAATAAAGAATTGTATGTTTGCTACGGGTCATCATTATGAATCCTGATATGATCTATTTATCTTAATATTGTTTTTTTCTCTACTATATCAATTTGAACAAATTAATTTTAACAGAGCTTGCATTGAAGTCATGTTGGTGTTTGCAGTTGGTGAATTTTTTTTCTATCAAAGGGTAATCCTCTCTGAAATCGGATATTTAAATGTCTATTTACATTCAGATAATCTCTGGTTCTGTGTTGTATTTTCTTTTTTTTAAATGCTTAATTTGATGTTTTTCATTATTTAACCTTTTTCAGTTGAAAACTGGCAACAGCCATGCTTTATTTTTTTACTTAATTAATAAACAATTTACAACTGCAGACATCACAACTTTTTGGCACAGCTGTAAAATGAATAGAATTCACAGATCTTTAATGATAATTTATATCATGGTTACAATAATACCAAGTATTGGTCTCATATTGTCCAATTTGTGCCAAGTGGAAAGTCTCAACATTTTTCGTTGTGACCTTCATTTCATATTCAGATAGTGAAATTAAGGTTTTTATAGAGAAAAACAAATTATACTCCTTACACAGAGTTGTTTTTTCTTAAAGCAAAGAGATTATATATAATTTATTTATATTAATAAAGATTCTATCTTATACTTAATAATCCCTTTAGTAGCTTACACCTGTTATCAAATACATCAGACATGGGCAAACTGTTGCGTCAGAGGTCAGACACTGCGTTACAAATATGAAAACTGTGTGGGCCTGATTTTGCACATGCATTGTTAAGTTAAACTTGACACATAAGTCCAAGCACCTTACACCCGTTAGGAAATATATATAAATACCTGCATCTTGCAGTGACACAACATACCCAGTACTTTGAGATTAGACACAAGAATTTTACACATGGTCCCAAGTGCATCCCATACTATTTTAATTATTATATAAATTAGTAGACACTAATGAACAAAAGTTTTTATACTTGTTAAAATAAAACAACCCATAAAAAATAAGTTTTTCTTATAAATCCTTTGTAAAATGTAATTTTGAGCAGGGGGTGGGGGGGGATATTAGACAAAACATGCTTTCAAGTAACACATTTTATAATAATCCAAACTAGTGCTCCCCCACCCCAAGGCTCGCAACCACACAATTGTTTGACGCCCCTGAGCCTGAACAATATTAATATTTTAATGACCCACCCGTTTTTACACCACTGATTAATTTAACCAACCATTTCAGAAAAACAAAAGAAAATATTACGCATATTATTAAATGATTTTTTTAAAAGATTCTTATTTAGTGCAGTTATTGGAAAATTTATTTCGTGAAATCGGTGTTTTCATATTTCCTTCATCTGCCCATTAAAAAACAGGAAATATAGATATTTGGGGAATGGGGCTGAAAATTTGATAGAATGTGCTATCATGGGTAATGATTTTTTTATTCCAAGTTTCAGCTTGATCGGTTGTCTGGAGGGGAAGTTGGTCAATTAGTCGTTCGAAGGTTTTTGCCACCCAGCCAGCCACAAACAAAAGCGAAGTTAATATAAAGGATTTAAAAAAGTCTTTGCTTTATATCTCCATTTGATTAAAGTTATAGACCTCGTTTACAGATGAACTAGACATGTTGAAATCTAAATGTTGACTACTTAACAACACAAACCATACAAGTGTACATCCCAAAGTTAACTTGTGTGTTTCATCATGCTGAAATCAACTCATCAGTAAAGCTGATGATAACTGGCATTCAAATTGTTTTTATTGGCTTAATTTCCTTGAGTTTTATCAGCATTACGTTACTTTGAAAAAAATATTATAAATCACGTTTATAAATGAAATGCATTTTTTTTTTTTTTTCTTTTGTATACAGGGCTGAACATAAGCTCACAATAAAATGGCAATATTTCTCCCACACAACTTCCCTACAAAATGTCCCTTGACAGAGATAGAGTTTGAGCTGTTCACACTGTAGTTATATAGGCTCATTAACTCTTGTCTCTCAAGGGATGTAAATGCTTGTAAATATCAACATCTTTAAATTATTTATTGTTCAATTTCAACCTCAGTTTGACATTCACCCCCGCTCCCTGTGCTTGCCATCACCCCAGAAGGATAACTTGATCAGAAGCTTATTATCTTGAGTTATCTCATCCTGAGACATCAAAGAGCAAATTAAATAATTGACATTTTGACAATGAAAATGTTCAATAGACTATCAGTGAAGAGTCTCTAAATTGTCCCCCTTAATACTTTTTCTTGACTGATAGAAATTAGATTGCTTTTTTTTTCTTTTTTTTCTTTTTATAAATCAGGGTTCAGCTTAAAATTAAAATGGGTTTTTTGCTTGTTTTTAAATGTTCCCTTTTTTAAAACTAATTATTTACAATCTTGTATACCGGTATTTTCAAAAGCTTTCATTAAAAATTATGTAAAGCACTAAATATCTCTGGTGTGACAGCAAGATAAACATTATTCTAACAATGCACTTCCTCATTGTAAGCAGAAGTACAGCTTAAAACTTTTCTGGAAAGCTGAACTATTCTCTGCTTTCAAATGTTGTTTTTTTTTTTTTGGTTTTTTTGGTTGTTTTTGAGACTCCTCTGTTTGTGTAGAAATGTTTTCCATAAAACGTGTAAATATTGCCTGTCTAGTTACTTTAATGATTAGTGTAGGAATATATATATATATATCTTTGCTGATGGCTTATATTGATCAGCTCTATTGCTAATGCATTGTTTCACTTGGTGAGATGTTAGCAAGACAACTATGAATCGGATGTAAAGATTGCTTGTACAAAAATTAAAACACCACTGCTAATTATTCATTAGGAGTGGTCTAAAATGTCACAAATTCTTAGTTAGGGGAAAGATTGCTTGTACAAAAATTAAAACAACACCACTGCTAATTATTTATTAAGAGTGGTCTAAATATTCACAAATTCTTAGTTAGAAAGAGGGGGGGGGGGGGGGGGGGGGGTGGGGGGAGATGCATGACAAGCTTTTGTGGCGCTTTCTTATATTTTTTTTTAACAAGAATGATCAGATTTTTATATGAATGAAAGGGTCTAAAGGATTTTTGCATGCTCCATTGATTTTTTCCTGACCTCAAAGCCTTGAAAAAGTAATGTAATGGTAGAATTCATAGCTGTCAGGAATATACCTTTCCCACTCATGTGATTTCTTACAGGCAATTTTGTGTTGCCTGTTAGAATAAAGTCAAGATGTTGTTAAACCTCAACAGTGGATCAAGGGGACAAAAAAAATTATTTTTTTTAAAGAAAGATAAATATATGTTTTATGTTACTTTAAGTTAAAGAAATGATTGTGGTAAGACTTCTAATGTCACTGTTGAATTCATCTGTCGTAACAAGTTAAACTGATGTCAGATTTACTGTCAACTCTTAGGCTTGTGTCACAGTGAAATGTGATAATGAAAAGAGATTTGATAAGATTAAGATTTTGCTACCTTTCTTATTATCCATGATATGAGTGCATTTATTGCTTGTTAGAGATATGGTGGGGATAGTCAGAATGGCTTTAAGTAAAAAAAAAAATGTTTAAATAAGTAATGCAGAAAGGGTTTATGAATAATTCAATTTATAAGTCTGTACCACTTTGGAGTAAGCACGGCACAAAATTCTGATACAGCCCAATGTTTATTTCTGTCATATGTGACCAACATGTCAATCACGATGTGGGTGTGTTTCATGTGACCAACATGTCAATCACGATGTGGGTGTGTTTCATGTGACCAACATGTCAATCACGATGTGGGTGTGTTTCATGTGACCAACATGTCAATCATGATGTGGGTGTGTTTCATGTGACCAACATGTCAATCACGATGTGGGTGTGTTTCATGTGACAAACATGTCAATCACAATGTGGGTGTGTTTCATGTGACCAACATGTCAATCACGATGTGGGTGTGTTTCATGTATCTTGCACCTCAGGTGAATGCCCTTTGTAGGTGTTCCTCTCATGCCCCATCTCATCAAGTGTGTGGATGTCTCTTTCAGACCCAAAGTTACTAAATACTAGTCAGATTATTCACCGTGCCAACATGTAGACCCCAATGCCCTGAACTTGTCATTTGAATCTCTTTTGATCAGTCAGTTGTGAAACTTATTTTCATTTACTACATGCTATGAAGTTGTGAGATCAAGACAGAAATGTTATTGTTCTCTTGTAATGTTGTTGTGACCACTGTAAGCACAAAATAAGTCAACCATCAGGACCATATTTGCATCCATTATTTTATAATTCCCAGTCTAATCATTCTTTACTTTATCATCTGTTGTCTTTGTGAGTCACCTTTATTGGAATTATGTGGGGAAAAAGCCACCGACCAAGCCACTTAATCCTTGGGATAGCATCTCGACTGTAGTTTTCCCTGATTGATTTTTTATGTTTATCCAAATTCCAATTTAACCTTTCACAAGCTATCCAGCTCACACCAGTCATGTGATCCGCATTGATGGTGGAGCTGAAAAACTAGGCAGAATTTAATTAACATGTTCTCATCTTTCAAAGCTACTAAATTTTTACATTGTTATTCTTCTTCTTTTTCTATATTTTGAGGGCCCACTATCAATGAATTGATAA